TCCTGGAATCTGCCCAGAACCCTGTCTGGATGGAGATGCTGCAGGGAGGACCCAGCCGAGGGGCAAGGCTGCAGGGCCAGCCTCTGGCACAAGGTCCCAGTCCCAGGCTGTGCTGGGGGACCGCACCCCCATGCCAGGGTTTTTCCAGTTGTACTATCTCTGGGGACCCAAATGCCCTTCTCTGCTCTGTTCTGTGCTCTGAGGGCCTGTGATATGATCTGAGTGTGTGTGCACAGAGCCACCTGGATGCTAAAGAGGCACCGAGACCCCTGGTGTGTGGGCATGTACGGGTGTGGGGTATACCGGGTGATCATGTGTGTGCAGCATATATGCGCACACATACGTGTGCATATTTGTGACAGGTAGGCCCCTCTCTGACCTATCCTCTCTGCTCAAGGAGGAGTCTCTGGTCCCGGGTGTTCTCCACAGACCTGGGATGCAAAGCGACTAAGGGTCCAATCCCACCGAACAGCCTGATGAAGGAGCTGGGCTTGGTGGGCCCGCCTGGGAGTACACAGAGGAAATGGAGGGGCGAGGCCCTTCCCAGGGGCAAAGACAGTGGCCTCTTGGCACTTGGCAGGATGAGGTTGCTGCTTTGAGAGACTTGGGGGTTTCTGAAGGAGGCTGGGTCCAGAGAGGGGGCCACTCTCCCCAAAGGGGTCACCCAGTGAGAGGAGGGGACACAGACCACGCACTGGCGGTAGTGAGGAGGAAGCTGGCTGCCTGGGCCCCTCGGCTGTGTGAGCTCAGCGTTTTCAGTAATTGTCTGCGTAGAGTGATATTTAAAATACATTTGGGAGCCAATGAGGCGGGAAAGTGGCTTCGAGCCCGGCTGCCAATGTGGCCCAGTGGCAGGGGTGCCGGTGGGGGCTGGGCCTGAGGCTCACAGGGGAGAGTGTGTATGGGGGCGGGAGGGAGTGGCAGGGGGCAGCCCGGATGCATCAAGTAAACTCATTACTGGAGTAATTTACACAGACGAGCCTGGGATCCGAATGCAATTTCTCCTGATGCAGGCTCACTCACTCGTTGTTCCACGCAGAGCACGTGAGTGCGTGCATGCGTGCATGCGGTGTTGAGGCAGGTGTGTGCGCCAAAGGGAGGATGGAGTCCTCCTTCCCCCTGCTCCTGAGCCCCTCTCTCTCCTCTCCCCAGCTTCCCTTGTCCAATGAGACAGAGTCCTCAGACATCCTGTCCCAGGCCAGCCACAGGGATGGCATCCGGAGGCTCCACCAGATGGAGAAGGAGGAGGAGTTCCGCTTGGCCATGAATCAAACCCACGGTGCTCTCATGGAGACAGAAGGGCCCATCATGAAGGAGAAGATGCAAGAGCAGATTCGACAGTGGCTCATCGAGTGCCAGTCAGTGTCCCGAGCCAAAGCCAACACAGCCTGCCTTCGGCCTCTCTCTTCTTCCAGGCCCCCACACCCCACCCTCACAGGCTTCTCTCCTGCCCGCTCCCCACACCCACGCTTTGCTCCCATCCAGTGGGGCCCTTTGCTCCACAACTAGGGCTCCAAGCCCATGTTGACATTCTGGGCTTCAACTTTGGCCCTCAACCCCTGGAGCCCTTTCCCTGCACGAGCCTCCATTTCTCTGGATCACAAAGAGGACGCCAGACAGGGTGGGACAAGCATCCATGAGTGGCCCCCCACTGCCCCCCGAACAGCCTCTCCTTCCTGTTCTGTAGCACTAGCTATTCCGCCCCCACTCCGTCTCTGTGGTCTGTTTATCCTTCCCCAGCCCTCTTTCCACCCACCCATGGACCCATGGATCTTTGCACCTGGCTGTTCAGCGATCTTTCCAACCACCCATTCACCTGTTCAATCACCCTTTCCTCTCTGTGGCCACGGACCCCACTATCTAACCCCCTACCCACATAGCCAACCCCTCCTTCATCTGTCCACCCATCCATTAATCTGGTCCATCACCCACCGACCTGTCCACTTAAGTACCTATCCAACCACCCAGCTTACCTAGCCCTTTTAACTACTTAGTGCCCTTACTGGCCGGTTTCCTGATTATCCCGATGAGTCTGCAGGTGGATCCTACTTGATCTTTGCAGACAAGACTCCAGAACAGGTATACTGGGGGGCGGGTGGGGTTTTCCATGGCAGGCTGAGTCCAAGATTAAAGAGAGTAGTGAGTAAGGTGGGGGCCAGAGAAGAGGTCCGTGGAGGAAGAGGTGGCTGGAGGGAACATGTGGAACAGCTGGAAAGGCTGCACGGGGGCAGGGATGAGGAAGCGCTGGTCCCTAGGGAAGGTCTTCATCGTCAGAGAGAGCAACTCTATCCTGAGAGCCCCTTTCATGGCTTGGAGCTGGCGGCAGAGAGAGCCAGCCCCTGTGATCAAAACATAGCTCCACTGGGTCCTCTTCCCGGACGCCAGCACTCAGTCTCTGGACTCTCAACTGTCCGAACCCCATAAGCGATTCCTCCCGGAATTGTGGATCCTGGGTCAGCCCCAAGTTCTGTTCCCATGAAAGCTCCTTTGATCTCGGCCACCTCCCTGCCTTTGCTCACAGGTGAAAATGGCGCTGGAGCAGCAGGCCCTGGACAACAAGAAGAAGGAACAAGAGAAGAAGAAGAAGGATGAGGAGACAAAGAAGGGGAAGGAAGCAAAGGCCAAAAGGGGGGTGAGCCACCTCGTGCGGGGCGAAGGGGCAGCGCTCATCAGCATCCACGGAGGGAAAGCAGGTCTGGTAAGGGCGAGGCCTGTCTGGTAGGTCGAGGCGATGGGGTCCAGGTCAAAGGGTGATTCTCTTGCAGGACGTGGATAATATGCTTAAAGTATTGCCGTCCAAATTCGTACCCATGATCGATGCAGGACACGAGGAGTACTTAAGTAAGGGAAGGGAGCCCCTGCTGGGGGTCGGGGAGGGGCCTTGGGGGTGGCCCTGGGTTTCAGGGAGAGTGGGAGCCTGCCACACACATCATCCAGAGGTGGGTTGTCGCTGTGTGTGTGGTCTGAGAGAGTAGCATTAAAGGGTGTGTGTGTGTGTGTGTGTGTGTGAGAGAGAGTGAGAGAGAGAGAGAGAGAGAGAGAGAGAGAGAGGTGATTTCGTGAGTGGTCTCTTTGTGGTCTGAGTCAAAGCGGATCCGTCCTAGCTAGGGCATCCTTGAGTGCATGTCCCGGTGGCATGCGGAGTGTGTGCTGTGGGTCCTTGTGTGCATGTCTGAGTGTGTGCCTCCACATGAGTCTGCACGGACTCCCTTTCCCCACGGCCAGAGCGCTGGAAGAACCGCCCGGAGAACGCACACCCAAGCCCGAGCTTTGACTTGGAGAGCCTCCGGGAGGCAAAGAGGAAGGACGTGGAGGTGGAGATCCGCATACAGGTTCGAAGGCCCGTCAGGGTCCCCCTCGCTCTCCCCACATGAGTGTTTGTGAGCCACACTCAGGGGTAAACTGAATCCAGAATCACCGGGGGAGGGGGTGGGGGTGGAGGCGAAGTGGGGGTGGGTGGCAGCATAGTGGCCGAGGACTCCAAAGGGCGAGGGATGCCAGTGCTGCCACCCTGGCCACCCTCACAGGGCTTGTCTGGCGTTTCTCAGGGGACCCTCTCTCTTTCCTTCTGCCGCTGCCTCTCTCATCTCATCTCCTGTCTTCTCCTCATGGGGCCGGATGCCCCCTCCTCCTCTTGCCCCTTCCACCCCCACCCCTAGGTGGACGAGCTGATGAGGCAGGAGCTGAGGAACCTGCGTCTGGTTGTGGACAAGGAGGAGGGGAGACTCTTGAAGGCACTGAAGGTGAGCGGAGGGCCCAGGGCTGGGAAGGGGGAACGTTCAGAGAATCTTCACCCATGCACCTCTGTCCAACCAGAAAAAGCCTGCCAAGAAAGCTGGGAAGAAGAAGAAGGAAAAAGATCTGACCGTAAGCAGGTACCAGTCCCGGCTGAGCCCCCTGGTCTCGTGGATTGTGGGGAGAGCACAATCCAGGGACAGGAGGCCTGACTTGCACCATAGGACCTTGGCAGCACCACTTAAAGGCCCTCCTTCCCAAGGGTCTGCCCTGTCAAGTGACCAAAACCATCTGCTAGGAGCATAGGAAATTATGATAAGAACGTGTTTTAAAAATGATAATGTGTGTCCCCACTGTCATGACACCAATTCTACCTTACAAATCTGGCTAGATCAGAGCATTTACACTGGTACAGATAAGAACTGGAAACACAGGGAATCCAGGACAGATAATCCCCTCAGGACCAATATTGAGAGTAGTGATATCAGAAGGGTAGGGGGCAGGTGGGGAGAGAGAGGGAGAACTGATCACAATGATCGATATATAACCCCCCTCCCAGGGGGACAGATGACAGAAAAGTGGGTGACGGGAGACAGCCATCGGTGTAAGACATGAAAAAAGTGGTAATTTATAAATTATCAAGGGTTCGGAGAAAGTGGGTGGAGGATGAGCTGACACCTAGGGCTCAAGTAGAAAGAAAACGTTTTGAAATTGATGGCAAGAAATGTACAAATGTGTATGACACAATGGCTGGTTGGCTGGATTGTGATCAGAGCTGTAAGAGCCCGCAATAAAATGACTGAAGAGGAAAGCAAATGATCATGCGGAACACAGATGCAGGTGGAGTATGAGTCATGGAGATACTCCCTCCCACGCTTGTCCTCCCTGATTATTAGCTCTGTCCCTACCAACGACAACCCCCACCACCACCACCCCCGGGCCTCCTACGCTGGTGTATTGAGCACTTGGTCTATGGCCTCCGTTCCACCCATTTCTCGGCACCTGGCACCTGCTGGGCACATTGGTGCATATACCGTAAGGACCCCGTCTGTCCCCCGAACACTTCCATCTCCATGTGGAAGAGACGAGGGCTTACCCTGAGAGGCTGGACCACAGCCGGCCTTTGGGCAGTCCAGAGCGGGCACTGGTCTTTCCTGCCACCCTCTCGGTCTGCAGAGACCTTCTGGAAACAGTGCCGGGGCTGTGGCTTTGCCCTGGCCCACTGTGCCTTCTGATCCTGGCTGTAGTTCAGGGGTGGGGGTGGGAGGGTGGGAGGAGCATCCCTCTTTTTGCATGCCCCCATGCTGAACTCATGGCCTCTGGGTCTCCCTGGCCACGCTCCACAGGTCCTTGGACTCTCTGTTTGAAGAGCTCGTCTGCCATCACCTGCTGAAGAAGTGCGAGACAGTGGCCCTGAAGGACTACGCTGGTGAGACACATGCACACCCCAACCCACTCCCACTCCCACACAGCCGCACCAGCCCTGAGCTGAGGGGCCCCGGACTGCACCCTTCTCCTGACTGAAAGCCCACTCCTTGGAAGAGGCCTAGCTCTGCTTGTGACCCTCTCCCCTGGGCTCAGGCGAGCGACCTTATCGCCTGTGCCCTCAGGTGACTGCCTCTACCTTGGATCCATCCTGAATGTGGCCGAGAAGCTGCCCATGCCCTCTCTGTTTGACATTCGTCAGAACATTGCCTTGTACGCGATCCTCCGGCTCGGTGAGAAGCCCCTGACCTGGGCAAGGGCCTTCAGGGCAGGGTGGCTGAGAGGGGGCCATGCCCCACCCCTGGGTGCCATCTTCCTGCCGGAGCTCATAGCCAGAGGGGTCATCCCAGAAGTCACGAAAGCCCCTAATTTGCTGAGGTGTCTTCCTGACTCAATCCAAGTGAGTTCGTCCAGTGTGTTCCTCTCCTAGGAAGACCAGTGCCCCCTGCTGCCCCTCCACCTCCCCACCTCCCATTACATACGAGAGACCAGGATCTCCCTGGGGGAGTTCATCAGGTGCCTTTGTGCCTGTGTTATGGAAACCAAAGAGGACACTGGAATGGGCAGAGGGCCCCTCTGCCACCACACACACACACATCACAAAGACCCCGAGTCATGGCCGGCAGGTGGATTCTAACTCATCGCTACCCTGTGGGACAGCAGAGAACTGTCCCCCGCAGGGTTTCCAAGGCTGTAATCTTTACAGAAGCACGCTGTCTCATGGTTCTCCCTCGGAGACCCTGATGGGTTTGAACCGTGAACCTTTCAGTTACTAGCCAAGCACTTAGCCTTAGCCACTGCATCACCAGGGCCCTTTCAATACTGCCTGAAACCCTTCAAGACCCTGCTATCATGTGTCTGAAGTGGGCAACTGCCAAGATGTTGGGGAGCTGCCTCTATAGCAGGCCCAGCTGTGGCCTTAACAGTCTCCCCCCACCACACACACACACATACACCCTGCCCTGTGCCTTAGGCCCACAACCTGCCTCTGGCCCCATTTCCTTCCTTAAAGGTTCCCCAGATGTACATGCCATGGCCCCCCTCATCCGCTCCATCCTCCTAGTGGGCCCCCCAGGCATGGGGAAGAAGATGTTGGTTAAGGCCGTGTGCACAGAAACAGGGGCCAACCTGTTTGACCTGTCTCCTAACAACCTGCAAGGCAAATACCCTGGCCGGTCCGGGGCACAGATGGCGGTGCACATGGTCTTCAAGGTTGGGTCCAGCTCCTCACCCCGCTTTGCTCACTGTCTGACATTATGCCGGGGGCGGGGAGCATCTGCCCATGGGGTGAGCTGGGACCTTTCAGACACCTGGACCCTGTGAGGGGCCAGAGTAGTGGCTTTTCCCAGAAGAGGTGAGCTTGGATACCAGCAGCTCCCTGTCCCAGAGGGGAAGCTCAACTCTCCCACGGAGCTGTGATGGGCTGGTGCTCGGGTGGGTGCAGTGAGCGGGACCCGTCAGAGGGGGAAAGTCGCCTTTGCCTCTGAAACTTGACTTGTCTTCCGCTGGCGCCCTGACCAGGTGGCTCGGCTCCTACAGCCCTCTGTGATCTGGATTGGGGGAGCAGAGAAGACTTTTTATAAGAAGGTCCCGAAAGAGGAGAGGGAGGTAAGGGGCATCAGTGACCTGGGGGCGGCTCGTGAACAGGCCTGGGAGCTGAGGCTTTTAAAGTCATTCCAAGCCCGACCCAGAGTGACTCCGAGCAAGTGCCCGCCTCTCTGTGGCCCCATTTCAGGCTATCAGACTCTTCCTCTCCACCCTTCATGGCTGGCCAGCGGGAGGCTCTACCCAACCAGGGAGTGGGGGAGGTGGGAAGGGGTAGGAAGAGGTGGGGGTGAGGGGGGGTTGGAGCAGCTGAACCCCCTGCTGGACCCTGTGCTCGTGCTGTGGATTCTGGACACCCTCTGATCTTCTAGCTGATACCCCTGCGTCTGCTTCCTTCCCTGGAGCAGATGGACCCTAAGCGGATAAAGAAGGACCTTATCCAGGCCCTGCGCTTGCTGGGTCCAGGAGACAGAGTGATGCTGATCGGAACCACGGCCCGGCCCCAACTGGCCGAGATGAAGGGGTTGTGTCAAACCTACGAGCGCGTCCTCCTCATGCCCCGGCCTGACTATGCCTCCCGATTCGGTGAGGCCTGGGGCCTGGGAGCTGAGCCTTGCAGCCCGCCCCCTCTGTGCCCCCTGTGCCCATGCCCACCCCATGCTTGCAGTGCTCTGGAAGCGTATGATAGAGACCCAAGGAGTCCAAGTGACCCAGAGTCTGGACATCAGTGCCCTGGCCAAGGTCTCTGATGGCTACACAGCTGGCAACATCCTCCAAGTCACCCAATCAGTGCTGACCGAACGGCGGCTTCTGCAGCTGCCCAAGAAGCCCCTGATGGCCTCTGAGTTCCTGGGGTACCTGGCAAAGCTGGAACCAGTATACAGAGAGGAGGAGGAATCCCTGAAGGTGATTCTGGACCAGCCAGGAGACAAAGCCTGCCTAAGGGAGTCCCACCACACACCTGGGACCCCTCCTCCTCGCTTACCCCTCCCCAGTCACAGATGACAGGGCAAAATGACCATTGTGCCCCGCTTCGAAGGAAGTGAGAAATCATTAGTTCGGAGGTCACAGGACCAGGGAATGCTCGGGAACATCTCACCTGGTGTTCCCTGAGGATGGGAGCCCGGAAAGGGCTAGAGAGGCAGGAGAAGTCTTAGCCTGGCCCCAAGG